TTAATTCAGCTTAAAGTATTCAAAAATAGAGATGTTACAATCTTTCTTTTTTTTAAAAAAATTTTGTCCTCAAAATTGATTTATGTCTTTTCATTTCCACTGAGCACACTAATACATTTTTTATTTATTTATAAATTTTTGAACTTTCTGATCAAGTACAATAGAATTTTTTATTTTTTATTTTTTTGAATACTAAATTGGAAATTGTGTGTATTTAATTATATTATAATTTGGGTGGACGCTTGAGCCCGACACCCTTTGTTCATTTTCCTTTTTTTGTTATAACAAATATAAATTATATCTAATATCCTTCACTACTTGGGTATAAATATTCAAGTTATGCACACACACTATATATATATATATATAATCATATAAAATTATAATATAATTAAATCGACTAACAAAATATAATATTTAGGTATTAATTATCCGCTATCCTACTTCTTAAATGTGTGTGTGTCCAATACTCTAATAATGATTTTTTTTTTTTGAATATATCATTGCTCTGATACTATTTTGTCACGACCCAAATCCGGTACCCAGAGGCTTGGCATCGCGATAAGATAATAACTGAAGTCATACCAAATTAATGGTGCAGTGGAGTAAAATAAAAGGGTACCCAAAACTTTATTTAATAATAACAAAACATACAAATTGGAGTTTCTATTTAATTACATTGTCAGAACCTAGATCATGACTATAAAGTGCCTTGTGCCTACCGTATTGGTCCTGACACGTCACCTGAAAGTGGTAAACAATTATAAGCACATGACAGAGTGAAAAATATTATACTAAGAGTATAAAGGCATATAAATCACCATGGATAATTAGTGGCTAAACAAAGCTTGATATTGAAATACAAAGTATATAATACAGAAATCATTAACATATAATACAAAATAATCATAATCACGGTACAGAACAGAACATATGTATAGACTCAAGAGGTAGCTTGTACGAATTCTAGAGGTGGCTTCCACAATAGCATAGCACTTAGCTTTATACAACACTTTGCTTCACATCAAAAATCAGAGTGTCAGTGGATCCATAACAGATAGAGAGTCACAAGATGGCCAATCAAAAGTCAATGTTTACTTAAGTCTCCCAAGACATGAAACTCCCGTGGTGATACTTATAAAATCATTTTCCAATACTTTTTAAAATTAAACAACATATTCATAGGTTTCAATTTAAACAAATAGAATTCAAAAAGTATTCAACGTAATTGAAATAGTAATATAATTTATGAAACACAATTTAAGTAAAATAAATTATAATAACTTAAAATATATATAAAATATATTATAATAACTTAAAATATAATATAACTTATCTTAATATTAATTCCTTCCTATTTTTCTTTTGACGCTGCTTTCCGAGGCCTTTGTTTTCTTTTCCTTTATGTATTTTCTTTCTTTTCGTTGGCTTACCAATCATTTCCTTTTATACCCAAGTTTGTGCAGGTGACTCACCTTGCAATTAGTACCCCCACATGCTGATTCACTTCCCATATTACCTAGGTGCAAGGTGACTCAACCTGCAATTAGTACCTACATGCTGATTCACTTCCCTTATTACCTAGGTTCAACGTGTGGTACGCCCGTAGTTGCCCAGCAAATTGGCCACCTTTCACCTAAATTTCACCGTGGTCCAACTAATTTAATAATTAATTATCATCTTTTGGTTAAATACAATGATCGCTAATTTTAATTAAATTACATTTTAACACATACAATTATAAAATTATATATTCTTTTCCAAGTATCAATTTAATTATTTTATATTAATTTAACTTCAAGTATTCAAAAATAGAGATGTTACAATATGTGTGTATATATAAGTATGTTTGTTTCATCAAATTTAAATTTGATAAAAGTCTAAGTAAGGGTTGGAGACGCTCTAACCTGTCCGACTCACCTTCTCAAACCGCAAAGGTTGATTTGAGTCAATTTTGGTCGACACAGGCTGCCATGTTTCTTCACTTTTGGAAAGTTGGTAAAGTCAATTTTTTGACTTTTTACCAATTTTTTCCAAAAAAAATTACAAAAAAACCAATTTTTTTACAAAAAATTACCCAAAAATAATAAAAAAAACTTTTTATCAATTTCTCATAACTTCCGATTGTACTGGTGTTTTTGTTCTTCACTTGTACACATGTCCTGCTGCATGTCACCACACCAGACTCACTTGTGCATAAAAATTAAAAAATAAAATCAGAAAAAACAAAGAATGGGCCTTTTCAAAATATGATTGGTGAATTATAACATTTTATTGGTCCAACATATGAATGCGTGATGTTTCTAATTTATTAGATAATTTTTACATTCTAAGGCATTAAAAAGAAAAAAAAAGAAAAAAAAATAGAAAACATCTAAAAATGCATAAACGGATCATAAAAGTCTTACTTTTATGTATGTCTCATATTCATTTGAGAGGATCATATCATATTGTGTGATTGATTTTTGTGTAGATAGATAAATTGAAAAAATGGGATTAATTACATTTTTCACCTTTATGATTTGATTCAAATTTCACTTCAGTCTTTATTGTTTCAATTTGAATAATTTGATTTTTACATTTTAAGTTAAGTTTCAATTTGATATTTCTGTCTAATCTAGAGGTTAAAATCAACAATTTTGAGATACTTATTAATTTTCTAAAGTTTCAATTTGATTTATCTGTTTAAATTGGAGATTAAAATAAATAATTTTGGAATCCTAATCAATTTTTTTAAGTCTATACGTATACAAAATTAACAAAAAATTTGATAAAATTATCAAATTAAAGTTAAACTTAAAGTTTAAAAATTAAAATTATACAGAGTAAAATTAAATTTAAAATAAAATATAGAAGTGAAAGGCTTGTCTCTGTCCATTGGACGGTACTGTTGGGCCCATGAGACCCATTATGGGTCATGTTTCGTTAATTTGAATCGTTCAATACGTAGAATTCGTTGAATATTTTATCTTTATAAAAAATCACATTAATCGGATATCGATAGTTATTTAATTAGATTAGATTTTTATCAATTTATTTTACAAATTATATTTATAATTAATAAAAATTTAATCCGATCAAGTAACTGATATTCAATTAAAATAATTTTTTATAAAAATAAACAATTCAACGAATTTTATATATTGAATAGTTCAAGTCAATAAAATATGACGTGTGATAGATCCACAGGTCTAATAACATACTATGATGTGATCTCAAATCGAAAAGAAGCTTGACTTTAAAAATAAAAAATAAAAAATAAAAAAAATGGGACCTTTACACAGAGCAGAGATCATTCTCAGCTGATATGATATTGCATAAGACAAAGAATGGTGCTTTCGAGAAGAGTCTTGTTCTAAAAAAATAAAATAAATGTGGATTTGGTAATCTGATCCAAACTTACCCAAATTGTGTGATTTGGTCTAATTTTTTTTTTTTTTTTTGTCAAATCCCAACAACTCCCAACAAATTAATCAAATGGATAATGTTATTCAAATGTTTTTTTCACAAATCAATACACTAAATAATCAAATTTAGAGAAAATAAGCAATAAAAATGAGAGGCAAGGATTATCTAATTAATGATATTAGAATTCGAGACAGCATAAAGTAATTTGTGTATACATAAAGGCGGGTTGATTCAATTTGTAGGTACATTGACAATTTTCAAACTTACCTGTTTAAGAACGTCTCCAACATTAAATCAAAAATTTTATTAAATTTAAATAAAAATTTAATTTGATGCCATTCACTTCAACATTAAATTAGAATTTTATCCAATTTTTTCACATCCCTAGTTGTCGGGAAGAAATCGGGTAGATGTCTTGGAGGTCATCAGCATATAAACAAAAAAGGCTATCAAAATTGGGTGGACATCTAGGATGATGTCCGACTCAATGGTAACAATTCAAATTTGATAAAAGATGAAAAGCTCCCTTCATTTGATGAAATTTTTAGTTTTCCCTCATTTGATATGAATTTGATGCCAATATTGGATTAGAGCGTATAAAGTATGTTTGTTTCATCAAATTTAAATTTGATAAAAGTCTAAGTAAGGGTTGGAGACGCTCTAACCTGTCCGACTCACCTTCTCAAACCGCAAAGGTTGATTTGAGTCAATTTTGGTCGACACAGGCTGCCATGTTGAGATTTCTTCACTCACCCCTACCAGAATTTCTATCCTCAAAATTTTCAAATGAGATTATCATGTTAGTCTGTAACAACCACACATTCTTCACCACTCATAGCTTTCAGTAATTATGCAACAACTAAATCCAGAAAAAAAAAAAAAGAAAAGAAAAAGCATATATCAACAATTATGCGTCCAGTTCAAAAAAAGAAAAAAAATTAAAATTAAAATTAAAATTTAAAAAAAATAAAAACAATTATGAGTCATTTTTCATTTCCAATCACAATTTACAATGGGAGGACTCTTTTAATAGATTATGAACATAGCTTCTCCATAAGGAATTTTTATAGACACCTGAAAATAAATATTTACTTTAACCATATTGCTCAACACAAAACATGTATACTCAACAAAGAATATAAACAATAATACCTTAGCTGAATTTTGCACTTATAAGTCCTCCAACTGATCCGATCAAGGCGAACGTTGTCACTAGCAAGTAAATAATACTGTAAACGCGAAGAACAATCCATTTTCTTGTCCACCTTCCGACATTTTTCTGCGTAATATACATTTCCACGGGGAAATATATATCCAACGGCCAAGCAGTCAAGGTTCCCGCCACTCCAAGGACTTGGTTGAAGTACGGGAAGATAATTGCCACACTGGTTGTTGAAGCAACATAAGTAGTTCGAAAACACAGCCTGAAAAGATTTGATCTAAAAGCAGGTAATAATGGGATTTTGAGAATGTAATTATTATTTACAAATCCACTGTTTGGGTACTTCTCTGCAGCCCATCTTTCCACAATTGCAAACACTGGCTGACTGTATAACTGAAAAACATGAAAATATACAAAATGAGAATTAAATTAACTTTCATTCTAAAATGAAAAAATTAATAAATGATTATACTTAGCAGATTTCATTCGGTTGGCTGTATGTATGGCAGTTTGTTTATACAATAGTTCCAGAGAACCCTTTTCACCATTCAACTTTCATTTAAATTTTACTTTGGTCTTATCTTCTAATTGTGACAATTAAGTTCTCAAACTTCAACCTCTATTTCATTGTAGTCCTTCCATCAACTCAAAATTTTTTAAAAAAAGGACAAACATTGGTGACGCGATGCTCACGTGAGCATGTTTTAAGGGCATTAAAGAAAAAAAATTATGAAAAAAATTGCACTTTTAGCCATCAACTTTCACTCAAATTCCACTTTGAATCTTCATGTTTTAACATTTACTCATATTTTAAATGGTAGGGTGACATGGGGGCTACATTGAAATTTGGGTTGAAGTTTAAAGACTTAATTGTCACAATGAGGGACTAAAGTGAAAGTTAGCGGGTCAAAAATCTAATTTATCCTAGTTTTGGCCATTAGAAAAGAGATAAAAGCTAGCTCCACTAGTTGTTATAGTAATCATAGACACATATGAACTATAGAATGAAAAAACTTTGGATGTGGCAAATGTAGAATATAATAGTTTTTACCAGATATGATCCGACTAAATGAACAGAAACACACACATTAGCAAAGTCTATGAGCCAATATGGCTCGTAGAATCCAAATCCTGTCAAGAGGTTTCCCGGTGCAGAATTCCCAAAGGCTGCATAGCCAAATCCGCCACAGCAGATGTAAAAAATGGTTGTAATACAAGTCGCCGTCACTGAAGCCTTCTTCATGGTAACTTTTTCTGACGGAGGTGACTTCAAAGTGTCCTACATGTTTGGGAGTTGCATCACTAGCTTAATTGTAAAATTATTCTTTAAATGCTGATTTGAAATGAAATTTGCCTATATGAAACACAGTTCTCCACACCTGTATCTCAAGCAGAATTACAGAGAATGGATAGGCAAAAGCAATGTCACCGAGCGCTTGAGATACCAACAGTACTTTTTGAGTTGCAGTAGAAGTTGAGACCCCTACAATGTCACCCTTAATATATCCATTCCCTGCAATTTTATGTTCCAGAAGCACAACTTGATGCTTTGTCAAAGAATCAAATTTGAAGGACTCAAATATGTTGTAGATGTAACCTGCATTCTTTTGACTTTGGACCTAAGAAGAACGGATATGGACACAACAATGTTTAAATACTTAAGAAAAGGACAAGCGGGGATACAACCAAAAAAATAATAATAGTAATTGTATGTTTTTATTTGCTATGTATATGAATATAAGTTTAGGACACAACGACATGAAATGAATCAATGTATATATGGGTGTATTTTTGTTTTCTCCTTATTTGCTTCCATATGTTTTACTTTGAACCCAAATTAGCTTCCTAATTTTTTTTTTTTTTTTAAAAAACTCACAAAGGTGTCTTAAGGCATGTCCAAACACCGGGCACACATGTCCATGAAGTATCCCTAACGTGTCCTACAATACAAATAATTATTTAAAAAATTGACACCCAACATGGTGCGTCAGACACGTGGATGTGTGTCCATGCCATTTCAGTGTCCAACACAAGTGGGACACAGACACAACACCCATCTTAGAGTGTCGTGCTTCTTAGGTTTTGACAGTACCTATTAACTTTGCTAAACCAAGTGCCGATCCGATGATAGCATAACAGAAGGACATGATTGTAGCAACAGTTGAGAGCCATCCCATGTTGTGGAAATCAGGTATCTGACACATTACAATTTGTATAATTCCAAATAGAAGCATATAAGAAGTAGTTCCATATTCGCAAGCAGCCTCACGGCCTTCTTTGTGATAACAATTTGATTTCTGAATTGCCCTGGTCCCATTCAAGAATCAAACAATAACTATTAAGAAGTCATTCACAATATAGAATAAACAAGAAACATTCATACTGCATCTGCAGCTACTACAAAACCAACAATTATAATAACAATAATCCATATATGCTTCATCGGAAATATGTTTTTCTAACAGCACAGACTAAAAATTGAAGATTTCAAACAGTGGACCTTGCTGCTTAAATCTCTGAAATCTGTATAGTTCTTAAGTTTTCATCTGGATAGGCTTTATTGAATATATGAACTCGACATGGTTACCAGCAGGATGATGGTACAATTGAAACTGCAAAGTTGTAACTTATATAACCCAATTGAATTTTCCCTGCAAACTTTCCTTCTCAAGACAATTACTTTTTTTTTTATGAGTGTTTGAAGAGTCAAGACAATTACTTAAGATTCTGCTTAGCATCCAATAATAAGATTGCACTGCCATGAAACTATTGAAGGTAAAGGTTTGTTTATTTTTCTTATTCATCATTTAAGCATGTCTACACTTCTTGATTTGCCTAGGCATGACTTTGTATAAAGAAGATTGTTGAATCTGATATCATCCATCTTAGTGACAAATTACACCGTGAAAGATCAAATACGAGATAAAAAGACTAATGCTGTGTTTAGTTAGGGGATTTGGGGAGGGATTTGAAAAAGGAAAGGGAAAATGTGTGTGAAACTACGTGAAATGTGAGTACATTTTATTCACATTTCACTTACCTTTTCCATTTCCCTTTCCAAATCCTTTCTCAAATCTCCCAACCAAACACAGCATAAAAGTAACTTTTGTAAAAGAATCAGTCATGTGAGGATTGAGGAAATTTATGAATGTACCTCATGCTGATGCCAGATGTAATGGTATATACAATTCCACCCTTAAACATACTTAATCGTATGAGAATGCTGCAAAGCGAAGCACTCCTCTTTCCTGAAATGGCAGGTGCAATGTCAATTCATCAAGTGTTTGCCCACAATTATGATTGCACAATTTCTCAGGTAAAAGATTTAGGATTTCATCAAAAGAATAGTTCTTCAGAGGCTAAGATGTAGATGACCACAGGTTCAATACAGTTCAAACTCTATAACAAATATTGACACCATGAATCATGGAAGATAACAATGTTAGGTGGCACCATTTTTCTTTTATTTGTTGCCATAGACCAATTTCGATTAAACAGTCCAATATGTGAAATTCATGGCTATGGTGCTCAAGAATCCATTAAGATGTATTGACAACCAGTTGCGTTGGTATATAACTAAAATTTTCCATCATTCTTAATTAGGGAATTTTTGCTAGCATTCTGAGCTCAATTACAAGTTGCTTCCAGTGCATAAACAGAAATTTAATGGTTCTGCTTGTAAGAGTGCGATGACTTAACAACACTAACCCTTTCTACAACTTATTTTGTCTTCTAATGTGCTCCTTTGTTTAATTCCCAGAAAGAAATTATAGTGTTTTTTTTTTTCATTTATATTTCTTTCTTTTTCTTCACAATGATATTGGATTAAATTGAGAAGGGGAAAAGCTAAAAGAGTTTCAGAAGTATTTTGTAATGTATAAAGTTCATGTGTGTGTTGAAATTCAAGCTAACAAGGAGTTCCAAAATCCTTTATGCTCAATTTGGGCTATGGTGAACCTTATGAGAGTCGAATGGAGGTTCTTTCGAAGTCCCAAGTATGTAAGGATGCAAGGCTTTTAGACATGCTACTAAATCTTGGTCATATATTGCCAAGCCTTTGATCCCAAGCATAACCAACTCTGAGCAAGAATGAAGAGTTAAAAAGAGTGGAGTGGTGTCCAAAGATGGCGATTGGGTGGGGATGATGTGGGTGTATTGATGCAAATTAAAATTTGTCTTCTTAAACCTATACCATTCGAGCGTGTGTTGAGCTCGTTTAACATATCCTGTTTTTTGGTAAAGAATTGCTTACTTGCCCCAATGAACAAACAACTTGGCAATACTTTCCAATTCATATCCTGTTTTTTGGTAAAGAATTGCTTACTTGCCCCAATAAACAAACAACTTGGCAATTACTTTCCAATTCAGTTACACTTAATAACTGAACCCACTTAATAAAAAAAAATTCATAGAATCTCATTTTCTACACAGTGATTAAAGTCTAGATGTTGCTTGTGACCCCAAAGAAAAGGGGTTCTTAGTCACATTATCACCTAAAATCATCTGAACAGCTTCCAAGAAGGAGCGATTTCTGGTTGGGCCGTAATCAGAGTCGGGAGATTTGTAGCAGTTGGTGACAAGGAAGGCAGATATAAGTGCAATTGATGCAAAGAAGAGCATGGACAATGGACCTGCAATCCAACCTAGCTGAGCGATGCTCCATGCCAGGGATAGAACCCCAGAGCCTACAAGTGCTGTTATAATGTGTGCAAATGCAGTCCATAAGTTCCCTGAATCATAACAAAAAATTCATATTATTTTACATATCAATTATATGTATGAAACAAACTAAAATCCCCAAAAACATCTGTACTGGATCTAATACTACCCTTTTATTAATTATGTCACATCTTTCTTGCACTTTCAAAAAATGTTGTCAGAAAAAAAATAAAATAAAATAAAAATTAGAAAAGCCAATGGACCAGTAAACCAAATCAAATGAAACTAAACTCACATACAGAAGTTTTCACATGTTCAATTGATACACTTACTTTACACATAATTCTCCACTTCAATCACAATTCTTGTATATTTTGTGATGGGAAACACTGAATTGAAGTTGGGGTTAAAGATTACAACAAAATAGATGCTAAAAACAGAGAAAAGAATGTTTAGCAAAACGAAGAAGTGAGAGAGTGACAAACCAGTTCTCATGAGGGAAGGTTTGAGGGGTTCAATAGATGAAGAAGAAGAAGAAGGGAGGGTTGAATGCAACAAATGGGTCTTGTCAACTCCATCTCCTTCTCCATCTCCATCTCCATCTCCTCCTAATCCCATGGTTGTTCAAAAAAATCTCTTTCAGTGTCCCCAATCTGTATGTATTTAATTTACAGGTAAACAATACACTGGTGGGCTTTTTCTAATACAAAAATCACTCCTCTCAGAGAGAGAGAGAGAGAGAGAGAGAGAGATCTTCCATGAATAGAGGAGGTCAATCTTTACGTTGAAGAGAAGATAATCTGACAATGTGAAAAGACATTACTACCCTCGAATGATTTTTTAACCCTCAATTGAAGAAAAACTTATTGGAAAAATATCACTTCAGTGTACATTTAGAAAAATATTGTCAAATTGATAAATTATATAAAATTAAAATGTATAATTATAAATTTTTTCTTCAATTTGTAATTAATTTTTAAAAATTCCACTCATATGTAATTTTTCTAAAATGAATCACCTTGCTTGTTTTCACATTTCAAAAAATATTTTTCAGAAAATTCTACTTTCTTATTTTTTATATTTTTTTATTTTTACTGAATTTTTTTAATATTTTAAGAATTTTTTTTACTTTTTAGACACTCCTAACATAAATACACATAAAAAGTAAAAAAAATTGTAAATTTTTTTTTAAAAAATTTACAAAATACCAAAAATATAAAAAAAATACAAGAATTCAGTACATTTTTTTATATTTTTATGTATTTATTAATTTTTTAAAATATTTTTTCACAAATTTTTTACTTTTTAGTTACATCTAAGTAAGGTGTATCTAAAAAAGTAAAAAAAAAATGTTTAAAATTTAAAAAATATTTACTAAAAATAAAAAAATACAAAAATTAAAAAAGTCAATTTTTAAAAAATTTAATTCAAAAAACTCAAATCAAACACGCTGATTAGTGTCCAAGAGCATCACGTGTCACTATATCCAATTAATTATCAATTATTGTACTTCTTTATATTCACTCATCATTAACAGAAATTAGTGTATCAATCATATTCAATTTTGGTTCCAAAAAAAAAAAAAAAAATCATATTCAAAACACCAAAAAAATCTTTTCTGAAAACACCAAATAACTTCTCCATTGAAATATGAAAAGCTCTCACATCATGGGGGTTGGAATGTGCAATTATTTCTGTATTTATGAGCATCTTTAACAGTTCAGTATTTTTTTTATTTAATTTGAGTAAAAAATGACTCATTTTCTCAATTTGATATCAGTTGCTCCAACGATGCATCAAAATCCGTGAGTCAACTGGATGGTCGACCGGTGGGTCGATCGGTAATGGTAAATATATATATATATTTTACCTTTTTGAACTGTTTGAACCCACCTATGTGAACTGATCTATGTGAACTGGGGGAGCGGCGACCAGTTGGTCAATCGGCGGGTCGACCGGTAAAAAAATTAATTTTTTTGTATTTTTTTTTGGTTTCCCTCCATTTCTGTTCCTAATTCTTTTCCTATTTCTTTTTCCCTCCATTACATATATGTCGTTTTGGTTTACCTCTAACAATGATTTGCTTCTAAAATCTCATATAAACACATTATTCATATGCCAGACAACTCCACAGACAACTCCACACAACTGACACGATCATAGCTTAAACAAAACAGAGCATAATGAATACCTTCAAATCCATGATATTGACTTCATTTTCATCCTCTTCTTCTTCCTCCTCCTTTGATGATGAGTCTGATGATGAATATATGGTCACACTTTTAGGAGCTTATGAGCAGAATAATAGTAGTATGCTTCAGATTATTAAGTCAAGCGATAGCTCAAAGAAAATAGGTGGTTCTGTTGTAGGTCATAAGTATATACGCAGAGATAGAAGGCAGGGTCATGATAAATTGTTTGCAGATTATTTTGCTGTAAATCCAGTATATTCACCTACAATATTTCAGAGACGTTTTCGAATGCGTCGTCCTTTGTATCTGCGAATTTGGAATGCAATCCAAGCACACAATTCATATTTTGTTCAAAAACAAGATGTAACTCATGTAGTTAGATTATCTCCCCTACAAAAAATGACTTCAGCGATGAGAATATTGTCATATGGTGTTGCAGCAGATGCAGTTGATGATTACATACGTATCAGGGAAAGCACTGTAATTCAAAGTTTGCAACAATTTTGTAATTCAGTGATTGAAATCTTTGGAGTAGAATATCTGAGATCTTCGACACCAACTGACATTGCTAGATTACTTGCTATTGGGGAGGTTCGGGGGTTTCCGGGTATGTTGGGAAGTTTAGATTGCATGCATTGGGAGTGGAAAAATTGTCCAAAAGTATGGCAAGGTCAACATGTAGGCCATCAAAAAAAGCCAACCATTATTCTTGAAGTAGTAGCTTCTTATGACTTATGGATTTGGCATGCATTTTTTGGAATGCCTAGCTCACACAATGACTTGAATGTGTTGGACCGATCGCCTTTGTTTTCTGATCTGGCGCAAGGTAAAGCTCCCCCTGTCCATTACATTATTAATGGACATAGTTACGATATGGGTTATTACCTTGTTGATGGTATATACCCTCAATGGGTAACACTGGTTCAAACAATTTCTTCTTCCCAAGGAGCAAAGAGACAACATTTTGCAATGATGCAAGAGTCTGCTAGGAAAGATGTAGAGCGGGCATTCGGAGTCCTTCAATCTCGATTCGCAATTATAGGTGGTGCTGTACGTTTTTAGGATCCGAAAATGCTTGCCAACATAATGAAGAGTTGCATTAAATTACATAATATGATTGTCGAAGATGAGAGGGAGGAGCACCTTGATTTTGATTATGAAATTTCATCAACCAACACACCAGTGCAACTTTCCTCTACTCCTACCAATGACTTCCAATTATTTTTGTCTCGTCATTTAGGTATTAGAGATAAGAATGCATATCATGCCTTCCGTAATGATTTAATAGAACATATGTGGCATCTTCATGGTGAAAACTAGATTCACCACATCAATATATGTAATTTTGTTTATAGTTTTGGAATGGAAGGTTGTCTTGTTTGTAATCTTCATTATAATGCACTATATTAACCAAGTAGTTCAGAAGTTATGTGATTAGATGTGCTATTGTGATGATCCAATCTTTAATATTCAGAATTGTTCTCTGTTCCATTTATGAGAATTACAAATGATAATAATTATGTCTTAAGAGGTTACAAATGACAATACCATATAAATTTAATAATAATGTCTTAAATTCTGTGTTCAATTGAGTATTGATGTGCCACAAATGATAATACCACATCCATTTATGCACATTTAATAATGATGTTTGAAATGATAATTTAATAATAATGTCTTAAATTTATGCAATTCAGTATTCTGTGTTCAACTCAGTAATGATAATACCACAAATGATATTTAATACATATTTATATGAACATGTCTTAATCGGTTACAAATGATAATACCACATAAATTTCTTCACAATTCATATTTATTGATGTTCCATATTATTTTATTCAGTATACGAATTTATTAGTATGTATTATTTGTGCCATTCATTTATTGATGCCATGCATTATTTGTGCATATACAAATTTATACAAATTTATTAATGTGAATTTATGCATTATTTGTGCCATTCATTCATTTATTGATGTTGATGTTGCCATTCAATTATTGCCTCAGTTGAAATGCATTCAACCTACATTCATGACATACTACAGATGTGGCATACGTTTCAACCACCTACCATTCATTTTACACACCACCTACCATTCATTGAATTCATTCCACCTACATGCCTCATTTTACACACCAATTTAGTTGAGTATTCATTTAGTCATTAAAATTATTCTGTAAATTTAGTTGAGTATTAATTCCCTCCACCACCTACCTCAATAATTCACCCTTTATATCAGCTCAAGATTGCCATCACCAAATTCACATGTTTTCACTGAAGACCTCTACCCACAGATTACCTCTATAATCTGCATTCACTGCATCCCCTCCACCATCACCTTCAAATTCGGCTTAACCAAATTATATTCTCAAACTCTGCATATTCACTATATTGTAAGTGTGAATCCACAAAATCAGCAAGGCAAACCATCTGAATCAACAAAGCCAACATCAGCAAGAACAACAACAAGGCAGCATCAAAACAGAATAACAAGGCAGCAGCAAAAGAGTAAGCTGCTTCGCACGGGTCAACCGGTTGGTCAACTGGCCCTTTCAAAAATTTTTTTTTTTTGCCTTTCAGTGTGCATGCCACATATTTGTTCAACTTTGTCATACAGAACACAAGAACATGATTTTTACTTGATATTACTTTCATATTTTTAAAATGAATGTAGTTTATTAAAACATGAACTAGAGTACTGAATTTTCAGGGTGCATGTTTTATTAAAACATGAACTACATTCATTTTAATATGTACTGAATTTTCAGTCTGCATGCTTTATACTACATTCAGTATGTTGTTCAACTTTCAGTGTGCATGCTTTATTAAAAATACATCCCTACATTTGAATTCTAAGTTCATGTTTTCATTAAGCATTTTAAAATGCAGTGTTTATGTTAATTACTGCATAACAGCACAAACACTGCATATTTATATTCAGCATAACACCAGAACTACAACAAGCCAACTGTAATTCAGCTTTCATAAGTAACACATTTTCATTAAAATTTAACAGATATTGACATCATGCCTAGAACTAAAAGAGCGAGACCACAAGTTGGTGAAAGTTCCAACCCTTCACGACGCGAAGAACAATAGTCTCAAAATCAGTCATATCCTACTGATGATTTTCTCAATCAAAGTCGTGAACTAGCCTTTCCAAACTTCTCCAGCCGACCTATTGTAACAGGGAGGAGGGTAAATCTGCCACCTCAATATGATGCACTATTAGTTAGTAAACTTGAAGCAATGGGATGGCTAAATTTAATTAATTTACCCCAAAAGGTATATCCACGACTGGTATCTCTTTTTTATGTTCACCTAAGAGGGACTCAGGAAGAAGATGAAAATTTTACTCTTTTGTCATATGTGAAAGGAAAGGGTATACAGTTTGATGTTCCTACTTTGGCAAGCATTATTAGAGTTGAGGTAGGTGATGAAAATATCCATTTTCAGAGTGAGGCTGAGTTAGTTAATATTGTTGGTAATGCTACTGATGTATATACTATTATATGTCAGAACAGATTTATTGGAACTAGTCTACAAGCAAGACATTTAAAACCTTATCTTCAGAT